TGTCGAAAATAGACCAAGCTCAACTCGATATATCTCTACTGGTACCGTGTTCTGGAACGTAAATTACTTCTAGGTTGAAGAGATACATCTCCTCTTTCGATCGATGCAATAATATTTTGGGGCSACTCAAAAATAAGATTATACGAGTAGATAAGTCAAAGGTCATAATCACTTAATCTTATCTCATGAATCGCCTGTCATGCAATATACACTATTTCTGCCGTTAAATTCTATAAAAAGGTATAATATCAGAGCAAATGGTTTTTAATCGATGAGAAATAAAAGTTGTGATTGGGTTCTAAATGCTCTTTTTATTGAGCGAAAATAGAAATATTTTAGTGCTTGTCATGCGACATTGAGGTGACAACTGTTACATGTAAACAACTCAGTATCGTCTCGCAAAGAAAATTGATTTCAAAACCCTGAGCTCAAAATTAATAAAAATTCTAAACTTAATAGCCAGAAATATAATCCCCTTTTAAATTTTTGGACAAAATGCTTTCAAGTTGCAAACTCGACGACGCACATAATGCTTGTTTCTTGACACTTGTTGGTGTCATTGCGTTACACACAGGTAGCCCAAACATKTTTTTCCGATTTTGAGTGTTTTCAGAGCCCCGTGTATTTTTTAGCATATATAATATAAGTAATGGTTGAGCTAAGTCTTGTGTTTTTTTTACGAAGACACTCCTGTTGTGCTCTACCTGTGCCCCATCCGCCACTAAGACATTCTCCGAGAGTATAGTATTCGTRACTCTTTGAAAATAACCTTTAATGTAAATATACCGGTGAAGGGGTATGGGTACTCCCATATATCGAAGGGCCTGGATGATCATAGAGCTGATTATTGGTATCTGGTATCTCTTAGACTATCTTGGTTTTGTCAGTTAGCAAATTGAWACTTGCAAATGGCTGGTATTATATTTCTAATTATTATTATCATTACTATATTATTATTATTATCGTTCTGGTTTTACTAGTAAAGCGTTTAGAATGTTTTGGTAATATTATCGCTATAAAAAAAATGAAAAAAAATGCATACACTCACTTTTGRAAACTTAGGTTTACTGTTATTTAGTTTTAATTTGATCTTCCCCATTCTAGACAGCAGACTGTAACGCTCCAGGGACGTACATAATACATTTGCATTATATGTACTTTAAACTAATATACTTTCCTTTTCCTTTTGATTAAAGGAAAACTTGTTCCAGTAAAAATATTTGAAAAAGGTCTTGGAGGTGCAGTTAAGGTATGGCTGGCATGTTCTGGTTGCGGACATGAAATCAACTATGCAAGCAGTCAAGTTGCATTGATGTCCAAAAGACGAAACTGTGTGTCTCTGGCCATTGCACTTCCTTTTATTGTTTATGGACATGGTTATCCCCTGTACTACAAAGTTTTAAAAATGGGACTTGGCATGGACGTGTTGGCAAGACCAAACTTCTACAAGATAATAGAACTAGCATACCCTCATGTGAAAAGTGTGTTAGATGACATGTGCTCAAAAGCCAAAGAAGTTATGAAAAAGAAAGATGATACAGAACTAGGYAGCTGGAAAARGGCAGTCACCTCCTCTSATGGATGTTGGCTGATTAGAGGATTCCATAGCCAGTGTGCTACATTCGTAATTGTTGATTTCCTCACAGGTGGCATACTATATTACGGCCATCTTTGTATGAGGGGGTCCAATAATTTATGTGATAGTGAGCTGTGGCAAGGAACAGCGAAAGCAGCTGAAGGCCATCTAGCCTACTTATTATTTTCAAAGGCCAGTGAAGAAGAAATGAATGTTGCTTTAAATTGGCAAGACCAGGWCTCTTCGTCAGGTTTATCATTTCGAAGCGTCTTTCCTGATGGGGAGTTGAACCACATCATGTTAAGTCCAAAAAAAGTCTGGGACCAGCATTCATCGACAAACATAAAGAAAGGCACCCCAGTGTTATGGATGTGAAATGCTGCTGCTATTCAAAACAGCACTCAAAAAACTGTGGTTGCATTAATGATGGGTTCATTGCAGCTGCGAAAAGGAATCACTTTTCTGCACTGAAGCAGAGCAACAACGACCCTGAAGAATACAGTAGAAGGATGCACATTCTTGGCAAATACCATTACAGAGATATCCATGAGTGGGAAAATGAACATGGTGAAACAGAGCAATGTGGTTTCCATCGAAACACTGTTTGCTCTTGTGGACACTGCACAAATGAACCTAACAGACATGAAGGACCATCTCAAATGGAAGAAGAGGAACAAAGTGGYGAAAGTGCAAGTGATGGCGAAGAAGAACATAGCAGTGGAGAGAGTACTGAAAAAGAGAGTGACGGTKAAAGTAGCAAAGCTGATAAAAGAGGAAGCCATGATGAGGAAGATATTGAAGAAGCTAATWCAAGTGATGAGGAAAGTGAGAGTGATGATAGTGACGACGAAGACGATGATGCTGTTCTGAACTGCAAAGGGAAGCCCTATTGTACAAGACAAATACACAATGAACTTGGTAGGGGACATTCAAATCTACCCGAAAGCAAGTCCAATGTCCTGACTCAGTTTCGCCCTAAAAATGTCAACTTGCATCAGCTGCATTACGAGTGTGCTACTAACTTTGGCCTATGCCAAAGCAATATGTCCTTTATGTTCAAGCAATTTGGTCCAGACTATCACTAGATGAGAGATTTGCTGTGTAAAATGGGTCTACCAATTCCTGATGGAATTGAAGACATCTGGAGAGGAGAATATAATATATAATATCCRGAGAATGCAGCGGCTAAAAAAGAAAACAACCAGTCAAGCAAAAACTGCAAGAGCTAAAAGAAAGCAAAATAGACTGAAAGAAAGCAAGGAGAGGTCATWTTGATAAAAACTGCAACAAATGCTCAAAGTCTACAAATGCATAAACAAAGTTTATTTTGCATTTTGCTTTGATTGCCATCTGGGTGATTGATTTGCGACCAGGCCTGCATATGAATTCGCTAAGGTTGTAAGCCAGTGAGCCCGTGCATTTTTGTTAAGCGGTCATATTTGAAAGTGTAAATAAAGAAAGGAAAAACCCGCATCTCGCCTTTCACTCAGACAAACAGTACAAGTCGAGTTAAATTTATTTGCATAACTAAACAAAATGATTATAGAATTAAACCTTTAAGAATTGAATGCTCATATGAAACATTTTCCACCTTAAATACACACGTGTTAGGGAATTTAGTCAAACTTTTTTCACGATGGAATTTTGTTTTGAGTCGTTTCGACATAAACAGTCACCTTTCTAGCTCTCGTTGTAAGGTCAGAGCTAGTAAATGTGTAACTGGCCTGTTACATAACGTCAAATCGTCGAGCACGCTCGCGGCTTATTGCCGAAAATACGACAAAGAATGAACTACGACCGTTGTTTGTACCAAAAATAACAAACGCTTTATCTCTATTGGAATACGTGAAGCTAAGCTGCTCTAGCTCTTCCAGTGATGTTGTAGATACCTCAAAGCTTAGAGGAAACAAGAGCTAAGAAAAAGGATTTGCAATGGTTAAGATACATTGGACTTGAACGTCGCGGCTTCAAGTACGACCTTCTGAAGTCTTCGTGAAGTCGGTCATTGCTTCGCATGCAATGGAGAACCCGCGTAGAACACAGAACAATTATTTCTATCAGGGAGGGGAGTCTCGTGGTATTAAAGAAAAAGTTATTTGTTTTTTTTTTATTTTTAGATAAAATTCTCTTTCTATAACGATAAATATTTGATTGACATTTAAAAGCTATTTTATAAAGATTTTCAATTTCTCTTTGCGTTTTAGCTTCGATTTTTCGGATAGAATAAAATGACAGGCAGCCTACTCCACTGGGTCGAGTTTTGCTGTGCAAATTCCTCCCGTCGGAGGGTTATGTTTACAACATAAGCTTGTCAGCTTTGCGCTGATTGGCTGGTCGCATTTTTTCAAATCACCCAGATGTTTATTGTATTTATTTTGTCACCGAATCCTGACACTGAAACTAATGCCTGTTTATTTTATTGTTAACTTAGAAGTAAATTTGTCAGACAACAAAAGATCGTTCATGGTTATGGGGATGGAGAAGATGGAGATGATATAGATGAGAACGAGACGTTGGATAAAGTTCAAGAAAGGCTAARAAAGAAAGGAGGAAGAATTCCTGTGTCAGAGGTGGGGCCACCCCCAAATGCAAAGGTCACTGTTCGCGGGAAAAAGTGTAGGTGTGGGAGTAGTGACCATTTAAGAACTTCACACAAATCTTGTCCTCAAAATAAATCTAAAAAGGCTTGATGATATGTTTYATTGTGCTATTGCTTTTGACCCACAATATATTTCAATCAATTTTATTGTTCTTATCATTAGTCAAACAAWAGAATCTGTCTTCTGTTTAATGAATCGCAGCGCTTTTGCAAAAGGTCTGAAAATAAGATAGCATAAAAACTTTGTGATTTATCATTCTATCAACACTTTTTGTGCAAAGTTTATTAMAATGTTTTTCCAGTATAAAGTGTTTCTTTCATTGACCAACAAAAGAATACTCAGTGTTTGATAGTTTGAAGTAGATTGTTTACACTATGTTCATAAAATAAAATCTAAATAGTTACTATCCAATAGTTCTTATTTAGTGAACATTAGTTGCTATCACTCTGGAACAGYTATAATGAGGTATTATTTMCTTTGTATTTGATTCCCCAAGTTTACACAGAGTATAGTTACTGAGACTATTCCAGTTGAATTATAGTCACTAATACTCACTAAAAAAAWTTATTTGTTAGTAACTATTTAGATTTTATTTCATGGTCATAGTGTAAGCACTAGACATATTACAACAAAGGAAATTCAAATGAAATTCCATTTTCCCTTTCCTTTGAGGATTGAAAACCAAAAGAGTTGGCTACACTATCTAATATAAATAGCCCCTCAGACTCATTCTTACATGGTAGAATGGAAATCACTTTATACTACTGTATTATGACTACTCTAGAACAGGAACAACAGTGAACAGGAACAACAGTGAAACTGTCAATAACTAACAATGTAGTTTATTGTCATATTCTGCATTCAACGCAGCTTTCCAGTGTTCAGTAATAATGAACTCATATTGAAATAGGCAATTATTTTTTAGGTAATGTACATAAATGCATTGTGKCAACAGCAACAAATTATGGCTTACAATTCTTTTCTAAATCACAAAATGTTATCAGAATTGTTTTTGTTCCTCATTTATACTGAATAATATTATAAAAACTTATGTAAAATTATATCACTTTGCACATAATCAGAATTGCCCCATAGTACATTTTGAGGGTCTAAATTGAATTATATAAAGGTGCAATGGATGTAGGGAAATGATATATGTTTTTTTTTTTTGTTTTGTACATGCTGTAGAAAAATGTAAGGATGTTTATRGTATACAATCATATAGAGTAATTCTTAGCTAGAAAATAAAAAGAAGCAGAAATTAATTCAAATGCTTTCTCTTGGTTGTGTTTGATTGATGTTGTGAATTGATTATTAGATATTATTTCATGGGTTTTGAGTATTGTGTGACTGAAGAAAGGAGAAACTACTTCATTTTACAAATTCATTGCGATGACTATCAAACCCATGAAACAGAATCTACTAGTGAATGAGACATTCTCAGCTATTTTGAATTATTTAGCTGGCCACTTTGCTGCATTGTCAGCAATATTTACTTTGTAGACCTGAAAGAGATAATATAACGTTGTATAGTGATGTTGATCTAATAGTTCTTCAAGACAAATCTACCATACAAATTATGCAATATCTTTCTAGAAAGGTTTTACAACACAGTGAAAGAAACTAAGTAATAGTGGTAGTAGAACCCAATCCTTTCCTTTATTTCCATCAACTGCAGCAAACTACAGTGCAATAACAGTGTATAGACAATGGAGAACAAAAAATAAATAAAACAAAACAAAACAATTAGGAACTTTTTTCACGTGTGTTTTTCATGGTTTTAGTTTTTGCATTCTAGTAAGTTACATTTGTTTTCTAGTAATATAAAAGCTACTCCAATAATAGTAAGTGCATGCAAAAGCAATAAAAATAGATTKTAGGATTGATAGGTTGTTGGAAATAGATTGCAATAAATTTGGTTTTATAAACAATCTAGTTGGAGCTGACTGTACTTACACCAGGATGTTTCGGGTCCTCCTTGTCATGGACTGCCCCAGGTAGTATTTCTCTTATTACTTCAAAGTAGCTGGGTACACGTAAGTGGGCGGCTTTGAGCGATTTGGATTGAATCCCAGCGTTTTCTTGCTGCCAAACTAAAGTCATAAGAMAGTATAAATAATAGAGGAAGCAATTAGAGATGGCGTTTGAGTCTGTSTATTTTATGACTTAGCATTAGTCTACAAGATTCTGCTTTGACTTGTKGGTTAGCTCGAACGTACCAGCGTCACTAAAATACCTTGTCTTTTAGTTTGTACATGAAATACCATAAGTCCTATCATACCAAATAATAGCAAGATGAAAACTTACCCATAAGAGACACCAAAGTCGTTTATAAAGTCGCGCACGACCTTCATCTTGCGTTTCTCCGTGTTTTGTAGCAAATTCCCGCAATAACTTCACAAGTCCATTTGGGACTACAAAACTAAATATCAAAAGAGCTAATTCAGTAAAACGTGATATWAACAAAACATTATCACTTAAAAGACAGTTCACAAGACAAATAAATTTACCCATTTCTTGTAAATTMTGAAGTAAAAGCTTCAAAAGCAGCTTCTGTGTTGTTTTTGGCTGCCATCTTTGACCGACCACAACGTGCAAGAAAGGTGTGAAGATTTCACGTGGAATGTCAAGATACTGCTTCTCTCCCATTGGCTTTTAACGTTCACGTGTTCCTTCAGTAAGTAACGCAACAGCGAAAGATACGSGAGATTTTCCCCAGATTTCAAGGCGACGATTGAAATTTCCCATCGTAGTTACAAGAAATCCGTGCCTTTTTACAGTAGTTCCTCGAAAAAAATGGACTATTTTTATGAATATTGGTCATCTTTAACCTATAATCTATCGATTGATGTAAAAAAATAACGAAGTTTTTTTTTGACCGGGAGCCATTCCTACCACCTTAATTTGATAGAATATCAATATTGATTTACAACACTATAGCATTAACATCAAATTTCATAACGGCGTGATTACCTTTCTAAATACACGCGCTTTAACCAAAAAAGAACAGAAAGCAAGAACATAGATGTTCTTGCAATCTCTATAACAGTTGAGGGTCGGTGGCAGATTTCCCGTCTGTGGATTCAATGTCATTCAGTTAACTCTGGATGAAACCTACAGTTTCATACAATTGATACAATGCCAGGTTAAAAATGAATTTTTTAAATACTTGATTAATAGTAAAAAAAGAATCGAATTTGTCACACTAATGATAATATAGATGCAAAGTTTCAAAGAAGACGAGTTTTTGCGTTTCGCATTTTTATAGTGTTACTAACATTTCTATTAGCCTGCGCAGTCCCTTTTAAGGGACCCAAAGTGGGATGGCTACGCAGGCTACATTTCWATGTGAAAATGCGTGCTTTTAAAATTCTTATATATTCGCCAAATTAAGTTCTTTCTCTTGGCAATTTTATCATGGTAATTTTATCATATTCTTCTTGCGATGCCTGAACGACTGAACTAGGGCTGGGATGGCAAATTTGATATTTTATGACTCATCGTATTTTGTACAAATTACTTGTGACGTCACTTGTGATTACATACCATTTCTTTGATGGATCTTAATGCGGTGAGCAGGGCATTTGCAGTGATGTTTGCATCTTGTGGCCATCTTGCAAAGTTGTTATTTGTGTGATTAAAATAGTGACTTTTATRTTTTTAAAATTGTAATTGCCGTATCTGGAATATTATACCATTAATTATATTTCATTATTTTAAATGTCGCTKTTCTTCATAAATTTTAGTGATTTTTACCTTTGATTTTACATGAAAATGTGGAATGTTCGTTTTGGCCTGGTCCATACCATCCATTATTATTGATAGATACTTTTCTGGTCTCTTTCTCGCTTTTTCCTGATGTTTGTAGTATTGCTTTCGTTCACGACTAGAATAAATAGAATTAATAGAAATCCAATATTTTTTTTTTAAGATTGCTTACACTCTCTCGTAAGACGGGGAGATGGAAAACGATAAAAATTATCATGAATAATTGCTTACGATTGCTGCAAAAGATGCACTTTCTTGATTTCCAACCAAGTAAGTTTCCTTTTTTTGTTTCTCAATTTAAGGATGTTGTCCTTAATAAGAGTGCATATCCCACACTTTGTAAACCTGTTTGTCTGCAATAAAGAAAACGAAGTTTATCATCTGGCGTTCTAAATTGCCTTATAAAAGCAACCAGCGAGATTTCTTTCAAGTCAACAAAGTATTTAGTAAAAGTAGGTCATTATTTGAAACGATTCTACAAATTAGATGTTAGCGTCGTAGCATGTAACATGCAACCCTGTAAATATGACATCGACATTTAATAATTATCATCTATGAATGTATACATGAACTACTAGATAACGTAAGCGTGTGTTTATCATACAAAAGTATGCATAATTTTAATATTGAATGACAGCGCATTTTTAATCATTTTATTACCATTTGGAATAATGACATAAGAATAGAAGAATTTCCACATCCTGCGAAATTGGGTGATACTCGATACTTTTCTGCCCTTGAAGGCTTCTCGATATGTTCTGTATACTTGTAATTTGGTAATACAGGAAGGAAGATGCATTTTTTTCTCATGGGGCATTCGGTCTGCCGTCGTTTCAACATACTTTTCAAACCATATCTGTGCAGACAGCATACATCTCGAGGCTCTACTATTCCCGCCACGCATACTGAGTGGGACAAAGCGACCAGCCTTGAATTGACGTTTTACGTTGTGAAATCTGATGAAAATAAAATCAAGAACAAAACTTTCAATGATATTGACCTGCATTTAAAACGTCACTGTAATAAATCTTGTGTACAATTTATATGTATTAACGTCAATACTGATTTATTGAGTTTAACTGAATCGYTACCTGCCATTGCTAATACCGTAACACAGTCGCCAAGCCTTTTGACACACGTTRTTTCCTTTTAT